CTGCCAGGCCATGATCAGCCCTCTCTCCACTTCCCCCTGGTACTTTCTCAGACGGCTGGAGAATGTCTCAGGGGCTTGGGACAGGAAGGCAAAACCACAGTTTTCCTAACTCGTCCCAGAGCCAGACAGACACAGGAAGCGGATCCCTGACCTAGAGGAGGGGGTGAGAGGGAAGAGAGCTTATGAAAGTCCCCGGAGATGGGTAGGAATTACCCACAGCCTTCGCCTCTGCCAGGGGCCAGGGTCAAGGGCAAAGGATTCCAGTCCTCCCCAGCTGGGACTGTTTCCCTCCTTCCTGGGAACTCTCTCTGATGATCAGAGCCAGTGGGCAGCCTACGTGCCTCTCTCAGTCCTCTCAGGGGACTGCCGTGGAAGGAGAAGAAGGGGCCCCAGGGTAGTCCTGGGCTTTATTGCCACTGACATTTCCAAGGGCTTCTAAAAACACAGGATTGAGTTTGCACTCCCACGAAAAACACATGCACATTTATACAGCCAAGTACACATATAGAAAGGCACAAAAATGTACCAATACACATACCCACGTACCTAGCTAGAGTGATGTGCATATACAGGCAGATACATCTGCCCACATTTGATGCACAGACATATGTACATAAACATAGAAGACACAAACATATACATATGTGCAACAAACACAGTAAATGTGTTCATAGGTCAATATTGCTCAAGTTGAAATCTTCTCTGCAAGAATGCAGGAGATGGAGTGTCATGTGTGAGAAGACCAGTCCAGCTAGACTTGAAAGGCCATGAGGGGAAGCAATGCATAAGAAGGCTGGAAATGTAGGTTGTGAAAAAGTTCCAAATGTCCAACAAAGGAGCTTCTAAATGATCCGAGAGGGAACAGAGGGCTCCTATAGTATAGTGGGCAGGAAAGTGACAGTATCACACCTGAATTTCCAGAACATTCTTTTCGTAACTGGGGGGGATGAAGGCCTGGAGAAGGAAGAAACCTGATAGAAGGAGATCAATTAGAAGGTTACTGCAATAATGCTGGTGAGGTGAGAAGGATTTAAAGTAGGGGGGCGGCTAGGTGAGCAAAGATAAGGACAGAGATGAGCATTACTTTGAAGGAATCTCTGACAAGGCTTGGCCACCGACTGAATACATCAGGGGAGGGAGAGCGAGGAGGTGAAGCCCCAGAATGGATAAACCTCAATGTCTTGAAGGATGGTGATGTCCCCTTGACAGAATCAAGGAAGTTCAGAAGAAGGGTGGGCTCGAGAAGAAAGATAATGAGTTTAGTTTTGAACATAATGAGTTTGAGATCAACAGGGTATCCAATTGTAAATTTTCAATAGGCAGCTTGGTGACCCAGGAATGGAGCTCAGGAGGGTGACTAGGGCAGCAAGGTGTCATAGACACAGAAATGATAGGCGGTAAGGATGGATCCAAGGAAGAAGGTGGAAAAGGAAGAAAAAGGAGTCTGGGGCAGAGCCATGGGGAACACACATAGCTAAGAGGAAGGGAATAGATGTTAATACAGCAAGGAAGACTGAGCAGAAGACAATTAGTCCAAGAACCAAGAAAGATGTTGATTTTATAAAAGTGCTTTGTTCAGTCATTTCTGATTCTTCATGACCCCATTTAGGATTTTCTTTGGCAGAGATACTGGAACGGTTTGCCATTTCCTTCTCCAGCTCATTTTCAAGATGAGGAAACTGTGACTTGCTCAGGGTCACATAGCTAATAAGTGTCTGAGGCCAGTTCTGAACTCATGACAAGGAGTCTTCCTGACCCCAGGCCCCGCACTTTATCCAATGCACCACCTAGCTGATCACTTTACAAGACTTAAAGTGCTATAGGAATATTTGTTATTCTTATAATGTGTGCACGTGGGAATATTCCACACGCACATACATGCATACACAGGACTGAACAGCTGACTGCATATAGACATGTGCAGGTGTGTGCACACAACACAGAGAATCATAGACCTAGAGCCGGAAGGGACCTTAGAGATCATCTACTCCTATCACTAGGGCCAGGCAAGTTAAGTGTCTTGACCAGAGTCACAGATAATAGATAACAAATAACAACAGTCACAGAGAAAGAGTCGGAATTTGAACCCATGTACTATCTCCAAATTTAACACACCCCCAGTGTGGCAGGTATATATATAGAAAAAGACAGTGGTTCATCCCTCCGCCATCCCAGGTAAAATTACTCCCCATCATTTGATGGCTAGGGCTGGTGGCACAGTAGATAGAGTGTTGGGCCTGGAGTCAGGAAGACTCATCTTCCTGAGTTCAAAACTGGCCTCAGACATTTACTAGCTGTGTGACCCTGGGCAAGTCACTTAACCCTGTTTGCCTCAGTTTCCTCTTCTGGAAAATGAATTGGAGAAGGAAATGGCAAATCACTTCAGTATCTTTGCCAAGAAAATCCCAAATGGAGTCATGAAGAGTCATGCATGACTGAAAAACAATTGAACAACATTTGATAGGGCTAGAGTAGGAGGTGGAGTTTGGGGGGAAGGGAAGAAGGGAGAGAAAAGGACTTTAACCAGTTGGATTATCTGGTAACTACCTGGATTACCCACATTGCTGAGGGTTGAGCTTTCAAGGCTCTCTTCATTGTGTTTGTTCTATAGCTGTTCTATATCTCTCTCTGTCTTTGTCTCTGTCTTGGTGTCTCCCTTTCTGTCTCTTTGTCTCTGTCTCCCACCCACCCATTATAGCTGCTCCTCCAAGTACCAAGTGTGAAATGGGAACTGGAGATGTCAGGGGCCCCTTCCAACTCTGATTCCATTCTTTTGACTATGATTCAGAGATTCCTATGATTCTATGATTATAATCTGATACCATTAAATTCTGAGACTCTGTTTCTAAGATTCCACGAAGTTTCCCCAAACCATCTACAGTCTCATTCCTTGGAGCACAAACCACACCCAGAATATCCAGGAGGCAAGAGTTGTTCATATTTATGTTTACAAAGGCAGTAGCTGCCTTCACTAGCAGAATCATGTAGAGAGACTGGAGGAGAAAAAAAAAGAAAACTCAAGGTCGGAGGTGGGGTCATTAAGGAATCACAGCCCCGCCTCAAAGGTAAATGCAACATGACATACATATTCACACACTCTGAAAGATTCATGACTACAATGATAGCCAATTCCTGCTCATGAATCTGCCATGGCTATCCAATGCCTAAAGAATAAGGTCCTCAAGGCTTACCACAATCTAGCCCCCAACCCACCTTTTTAGATTTATTCCTTCCAAAATGTTTGCTGGGGGAAAAGTGGCTGAAAGGGCTGACCTGACATCCCCAGACCATGTCCTATGCAATTTACACACTGAATCATGCCCTTCCCTGGGTCTAGAAGACCCTCCCCCTTCTATCTTCACCCATTCAAATCATCCTAAGATCTACTTCAAAGGAATTGTGTTTATGAAGTCTCCCTTGATATCCTGGCTCAGGTGAATTGGCTCTATGCCCTTCAATCACCCATTATGACATACTAACTGGCATTATACTGATCTGTGCCCGTTAGACTATCAACTCCATGAGGGCAAGGATGATTTAATATTATGTTCCCCAGTCCCAAACTCAAAGTAGGTGCTCTGGAAATGAAGGAGAAGGGGAAGGAGGGAGGAAGACAGAGTGTGATTAGTGTGAGAGAAGGAAGGAAATATGCATTTATTAAGTACCTAATATATGCCAAGCACTGTGCTAAGTGCTTTACAAATATTATCTCAATTGATCTTCACAACAACACTGGGAGAAAAGTGCTGTTATTGTCCCCATTTTACAGACGAAGAAACCAAGCTGAACAAAGTTCAAGTGACTTGCCCAATGTCACACAGCTAGTAAGTGTCTAAGGTCACATCTGAACTCAGGGCTTCCAAACTCCGAGCCCAGCGCTCTATCCATTGCATCACCTAGCTGCCTTGGCACCGTCCCTCTGAGATTACCTCCCATTTACTGTATATATATATATATTGTATATATCTTGGATGCATTTGGTGGTTTGTGTATTTTCTCTCCTATTAGAATGCCAGTCCCTCGAGGGGAGGAAAGGTCCCCATACTTAGCACAAGGGCTGGCACATAGCAAGCACCTAACAAACACTTGTTGCCTGCCTATGTGACCTTCGCGAAGTCATTGTCCAATCAGGGCCTTTCTTAGTCTCTTCATGTATAAAATGAAAGGGTTGAATTAGATGAGGTCCAGAGGTCTCTGGTGGCTGCAGATCTAAGATCCTGGGATCTTCTTCCTCACATTTAATAGTTAATTTAAGCTCTATTAATAATAAGGCCACAAGCTTTACAGCTTAAAGGGATCTTACCCAGTCACTCTGGCCCAGTGCACTCATTTTATAGATGATCAAACTCAGCTTCAGAAACCTGTCATAAGTAAATTAACCAAGGTCACACCAGCAGCAAATTGGAAATGCAGGATTCCAGCCTAGCCCTTCAGAATCTAAAGTCTGCATTCCTTCCACCACAGGAAGCTGCCTTTCTGTGTTATTCCACAGTAACTTGCAACTAATGTATCCTACAACCAGATACTGATTAAAGACAGTGAAGATCTTAGAAATGAATTCAAAATTATACCTTTCTCCCTCTCATATTACTTAACAATGCCTTGATATAAAAGCCTGATGTAAGGCAAAAAGTGCTGTCCTGGGCACTATGCCACTGAATTGACGCACAGCCATGGATGAGCAAGTCTCTTCTCTCTCTGGGCTCCAGCCTCCTCCACGGTGAAGTGACGGTTGGGCCAGATGGGTCTCTAAGGTTCCCCCTTCCAGCTCTGACAGTCTATGTTCCAAGATCCCCTTTAGCTCTGACATTCTGTGTATACAGATGTGAAGCCTGCCACATCCAAACCTCCCAGGCCACCCAGGACTGGCGTTAAGTTCACACCAGTCATGCTCTGTCTGGACAGCCTTGTTTCAGTTCAATAGGTATCTCCCCAAATAAGAGCAATGGTATGGAAACAGGAGGACAATAAAGAGAAGATGAGCTCCCCTCTGCACGTACCTCAGCGGGGAACCCTGGCCCCTGCAGGGATAACGCAGCCTGTTGGCCTCAGCCTCCACATCCCCAATTCTCCACCGTGCCCAGTCAGCACTTGGTGTCTTCCTCCTCTGGCCTGTGGCTTTCAGACTTGGCCCATGTTGTGGATCTAAGAGAGAGGAGAAAGCGATAAAGCAGAGCTCAAGCTGGTTGGCTGGGACCCACAGGGGTAATACCAAGGACAGAGGACTAGTGCTGCTGACACAACCACCCCAGGACAAGGGGGATACTGGGTGTCTTCCAGAGGATGGTATTGTCCCAGTTGCAGTAGAGAGTCCTCCCTATACACCTCCTCCACCACACGGGTGGCTGGGATGGACTGGGGAGTTGAGGGGAAGGCCTGTGTGGGAGGAGAAAAATGCTGATTCACAAATAGGATTTCTGGTTCTCCTAGAAAGAAGGGTGGAGAGGAGAGGGGACAAGGAGACGCTGGAAGAAGGGCCAAGATGAGGTTTCCCAAAGCCAAGGGGGTTTCTGATGCCAAATCCCTGGCTTAGAATGCCTGCCCACAGAATTATAGAATCAAAATGCTGGGAGAGACTTCAGGAGTCATCAAGCCCAATCGACACCTGACAGGAAACAGTCTGGGTACCAGACTTGATACACCTGGTCCTCCCTCCCGCCCTGCCTAGTGAGGCAAGTTCACAACTCCTCTCCTTCACAAAAAGACAATGAGAAGACTTGAGACTATGCCATAGAAGAAATGGCTGAAGAAACAAGGGATGTTTAGCCTAGGATATAAACTCCTCAGTGACAAGGAATTTCCCCAGTACTGAGTAGGACTTCTTGGCACACAGTAGGTACTCCAGAAATGCTTGCGGACTGAGTGATTGACAGAGAAGAGAAAGTCCATGGGATGTATGATAGCTATCTTTATGCAAGGGTTGCCATGTGGAAGAGGGCCATCCGCCATGATCTCCTTCTTCTTCCTCACTCCACATCTCAAAAGCCTCTTCATTTATCCTCTTGTTCTGCTTAGCCCCAGAGAGTAGGAGAGGAGGGAGCAATGGTGGGTAATATAAGAAAGACTTTGTTCAGATCACCGAAAGAAGAAATTCCCAACAATTAGAGTTATTAGAAAGCAGAATGGGCTACCTTGGGATCACAGATTTTGAGGCAGAAGGAACCTTGGGTCTAACTGCTTCATTCTACAGATGAGGTAACTGAGATACAGAGATGTTAAGTGACTTGCCCAGGGTCACAGAGCTAGCTAGTGTCTGAGGCAGGATTAGAACACAAGTGTTCCTGACTTCAAGTTCGGGTATTCTAGCCACTGTACCACACTGACTCACACAGAAAGGGAGAGAAAAGTGAGCTTACTCCACAGAGGTCTTCAAGTAGAGACCAGAGGGCCTCCGGTCGAGGATGCTGTACAGAGAATTTCCACTTCACATAGAGGTAGCACCGGATGATCTCAGCTTTGAGATTCTGTGAGTCTGTTCATTCTTCCAGACCACCTTAACCTGTATTCATCTTTCCCTCCCTGATTATCCAAAGCACAGACTAGTTAGTCTGTATCAGACACTTTAAACACTTGATTCTCTACAGTCTTGTATTGCTGTCTAATTGGAACTCGAGTGTCAGGGTTGGAAGGAAAGGGAACTAGGTGTGAATCAAGAAGACCTGAGTTTGAATCCTGCCTCAGACACTTACTGTCTGACCCTGAACAATTTACTTCCTCATCTGTAAAACCGGGATAATAATTGCCTCACTGAGTTGTATTGAGGATAAAGATGTGTGTGTGTGTGTGTGTGTGTATGTGTATAGTCTCATAAAAGCTAAAGTGCTGCATCAATGCTAGCTAATATTACTAAGTAGATGGGGAGAAAATGAAGAGGAAAGGAAGAAATCATTAAAGAAAGCAAGCTCCCAGAGGAGACTAGAAGGAAGAGATTCAAGAGCATGAGCGAAAGAGTCAGCCTTGGCAAGGAACAGACCCACCTCTGCAGCAAGAAAGGAAAGCCAAGGAAAGAACAGAGGATAAATGAAGAAGGCTTTTGTGATGTGGAGTGGGAGAGAAGAGGGAGCTCGTGATGGATGGCCTCTATTTTCTCAGTAAAGTAGGAAGCAAGCTCATCTGCTGAAAGAGAAGGGCAGTGGGGGTGTAGGAGGCATTGGGAGAATGAAGGTTTGAAACACTTGCTGTGGGAAGTGTGAGTAAGAGACCACTGGTGAAGAATAAAAGGATTTCATCACAGCAGTGAGGACCCAATGGAGATCAGGTAGCAAACATTTTGAGTGGAACTATCTGGAATGGTTGTGGGCTTTCTCCTGGAATATTCAGCAGCAGCATGTGTGGGTATAACAAAGGCAGATAGTAGGAGCAAGTTACACATGTGACTGAAGACAGGATTAGGAAGCAAAGGATTCAAGGATCTCTGATAAGAGATGATCAAACCATTCAAAACTATGAAAGGAAGGAAGAGAGAACAGAGCTGGGGCAATGAACTGGGAGAGCAAGGAAAGGGAGTGGCAATGGAGGCCATCAGGAGAACAAAGTGTGGCTTTAAGAAGAATAAGGCAGAAGGAAAGACTGAAAGGTTTGAGAGAAGACTTTCAAAGATGTGGATCATGGAGAGTGAAAAGTTATGGGCAATGGGCAGACCATGGGGATATCTATCCATGCATGTAGCTGAGGTAAAGGGAAGAATAAAGCATGGGAGTTAAGGAAGCTGATGAACTGGGAAGCCACAGTGTCCAAGAGAATGTTGACATGTACACTGAAGTGTCCAAGTCTGAGGGTCAGGATTAAAAAAGACAGAAGACTGAGTCAGGTACTGAGCTCCTTAAGAAAAGAAGCAGCATGACCTAGAGATAGGTATGTGATAGTGACAGGGAGTAGGACTGGGTGAGAAAGACAGATCAAAAAAACTTCCACGGAGAAGGGGCTGCTAGATAATGGTGGCAAAGGGACACTCAGAGAAGTGAGAATGAGGAATCAGGAATAGCTCTCCCTCTTGTCCCAGTGCTTGGGTAGGGAAGGGATAAGAGAAGAGCACTCAGTACTAGGTGGCCAGGAATGTAATGTTATCAAGGGAGAGCCTGGTTCCCAACAAGACATGAAAACAGAAAGAGTGTAAAGTGAAGAAATCTAGGATTGTTCACAGATCAAGGATTCTAGAGAGCAGACAATGAAAGACTGTGGAGAAGGATAGAGATGAGAGGATAAGTAGAAGGAGGAGAGGATTTTTCAAGCAGATTCAACTGATATAGATGCTGAAGCAAGAGGATGAAAGGGGAGCAAAAGCTGAGAATTGGTCTTTCATAGTCAAGTCAATAAGTCAATAAGCTTTTAGTAAGTATTTACTATGAGCCAAAGACTGGGGGCCCAAAAAGGAGTATAAATGGTCCCTGTTCTCATGGAGCTCACAGACTAATAGGAGAAACAACATGCAAATAAAAATGTACAAACAAGATATACATGCAGGATAAATTGGAAATAATCACAGAGGAGGGTAGTAGCATGAAGGAGGCCCAGCAAAAGCTTCTTGAAGAGGATGGGATTCTGGCTGAGACCTGAAGCAATTGAGGAGGTGGAGACAAGGAGAGAATGCATTCCAGGCACAATGGACAGCCAATGAAAATGCACAGTCAGAAAAAAAAATAATAATAAATTGGGTACCCCACCCCCCCACCCCTGCCAAAAAAAGAAAGAAAATGCACAGTCAGAAGATGGAGTGTCTTGTGTATGGAACATCAAGGAGATCAGAGTCACTGAATTGTAGAGTATTGGAGAGGAGTAAGGTGTAAGAAGACTGGAAAAGCAGGAGGGATCCAAGTTATGAAGGGCTTTAAAAGCCAAACAAAAGATTTTATATTTGATCCTAGAGGTTATAAAAAGAGGCCCCAAAATTTACTGAGTAAAGAGAGAGACATGGTCAGACCTGCAAATTAGTAAGATCCCTTTGGCAGCTGAGCAGAGGAACGGAGCATGAGTAGTTAATCAGGGGTACCCACCATCGAAGGACCTGTGATGACAGCACTGAGCCCACAGATGTGGGCCCTCACTGTCTATAACTTCTGATGCCTGAGACAGAATAAGGTAGTGATTAGAGTCCGAAGAGACTGAGGTGGTTTAAAGGATCCTCCAGGAAAGGCACTCTACTCATTGCCCCAATGCATAGAGACTGACACTTAAGAGGCTTGAAATCTCATAATTCGTGGAGCACAAGGATCTAAGAAGTTACACAGGGCTTCTCAAGGCTTGTCAAATTCTGGTGACTTACGTGGATGTCAGTAATTGTTCCATAAAGAGCTAGAAAACGCTGCTACAGATCATAAAGTCTAGGGCAAGGAGGTAATGTTCTTAGGAGAACAAGGGATGTTTACATCTCTGCTTCCCAGATCTGCTGAAAAGAAATGCAGATTTGGGAAATCAAACAGTTGGGGCATCTGACCCCTGAAAGGCAGCTTAAAACATAGAAACAAACAACACCCTCCTGATACCTAACAAGGGTTTGTAAGAATATATTTGCATGGAGTCTTATAAATCACACAAACGAAAAGAACCATAAACTGAAAAGGAAGAAACTGGGAGAAAACTGCCTATAAATATATCCAGAAAGCTGATTAACCCAAGAAGTAGCTATAATATCAAAGAAGATTAGCCACAGAAACATCCAGAAATTCACAGCACACAAAATACAAGAAAGGAGCAGGCAATAAAATCCTTTACTTCAGATGGCTATAAACTAACACACAAAATATCAGTAAAACAGAGGATTCACTAGACCTCCTATGGCAAGGAGGCAAATACCACTTCACCACCCTCATTGAGGTGGGAGAGGTAGAGAAGAAGAATATCTGTGAACTATCATCGAGTGAGCTTAATTTCTATCTCTGTCACAATTCTTGAAAATAATAATAAAGGAATAGTTAGTGAAAGTCTAGAAAAGAGAACAGTGATCCCAGACTGGCTTCTTTAAGAACAGGTCAAGCTAGACTTACTTTATTTTCTTTTTTGACAGGATTACTAGGCTAGTGGACATAAGAAATGCTACAAATAAGGTTCACTCAAATTTTAGCAAAGCGGTTGATAAAATCTCATGCTATTTTTGTGGGGAAAGGTGGAGAACTTTAGGGCATAGGTTAGTCAGTAAGGAATTTTCG